AGCTCAGAAGCATTAATTACCAGTACATGGCCTAGTTTTTATCCTATGATTAGTGTTGTTTGAAGGGTTTGCTCGCCATTCTCTAGTCTTTTGTTTATTGAGCACATGTACCATTGACAAGTTCACATGTCTTCAATATACTCATTCCTGAATTGCCATCTTGATTCTGTTCAGACTCCTTTTGTCTTCTGTGGGATGTGGATAGAAACAGCAGAACAAGGGAAGTGAATCCTTGTAAACATCTGTACAAAATTATCGTGGGGTGCATTGTTGTTAGTTGCTGTCAAGTCATGTCTGACTCATGATGACCTTAGAGTGTAGCAGAAGGAAACATTGCCCAGTCCCGTGCCATCTTCATGATGCCTTTGGAGTCCATCGTTGTGGTCATTGTGTAGTGCCTTTCAGCCTAGGAGGCTCATCCCGTGCTATGTCATACAATATTCTCTTGCGATCCATAGGGTTTACATTAGCTCATTTTCTAAAGTTGATAGCCAGGTCTTTCTTCCTAGTCTGTCTTAGTCTAGAAGCTCCGCTGAAACCTTTTCACTATGGGTAATCCTGGGAGCTCTGGTAGCATAGTGCCTAAGGCACTTGACTGCAAACCAGAAGGCTGGTGGTTCAAACCCACCAGCCACTCCTTTGAAGGAAGACTGGGCAATCTACTTCCGTATTGATACTACCTCAGAAACCCAAGGAGGGGTCAATATGAGTCAGGTTTGACTCGACAGCAGTGTGTGTTTAAAAGCCATTAGTCTATATTGAGATGAGAGGCCACACCACACAGAATCATAAGGCATTATTAGTCTCTGATATCTGCACAGAAAACACAGGATTAGAAAATCTTAAAATTGAAGGTCATTTAAGATCACCCCTTTGTGACTAATAGACCATGTATGTGATCCTCAGCCTATGTGACCATGAGACCAGAAGAACTAGATGGTACCTGGCTACCACTGTCAACCACTTGGAGGAGGAAGGGTGCAGGAGATCCTGGATAGAATGGGAGAATAATGTGGAACAAAACTCAAAATCATTTTTTAAAAAAAGAGAGACTAGGTTTGGTGGTCTGATAGACCCTGGTGAGACCCCCGAGGCTATGGCCCCTAATTACCATTCAGGTCTGGAACTGAACTCACTTCTGTGGCTTCCAGCCAAACAACAGACAGGCTTATAGGGTGAACATTTACATCAGGTAGATATACTCCTTGGAGTGATCAATTGTGGGAGAACAGAAGGGCAGTGTTTGCACAGGGAGACAGCTCAGGGGGTGGGAGTGCTTGGGAGGGAAGGACTCAGGGAAGAGGTAGCTACAGGGAGGAAGTGGGAAGAGAGCTATTCCATTATGGGCAATTCCAGTCAGTGTCATGAGACAAAATGTGTATGAATTGCTATATGGAAAATGAATTTGCTCTGTAAATTTTCATCCAAATCACAATGAAAATTAAAACAAACACCTCTTTGTACTTTATCATAGACTCCAAGTGTCCAGCATGAACTCCTGCTCCCGACCTTTGAGATACACTCATCCCATTGCTTCCCCACAGTGTAGCTAACTATTCCTATATGTGCTCAGTCTTCAGCTCTTGTCATATAGTTTAGAACTCATTCTCCATTAAGGATCCTCTCTTGCAGTGTAAACTCCTAAAGCTTAAAAACAACCTGTCTCGCTGCTTTGACTTCTACAGCATTTATCATAGTATCTTGAGGAATTTATGTAAGAGACTGAGGTTGACATTGGAGGATACTCCGTTGGTCAGGTATCCTTTTGGGGTCTTTCCTGACTTGTGAGTTCTTCTGTATGTTTTGAAGGAGCTTTTATTATTTCTTCAAGATGAGAGTAAATGTTCTTTAGGCTTCACAGGCTGAAAGGAAGCAGCGCTTGTGCACTTAAGTCAGACCTTCCCTTTTGAACTTAATGAACGATGATGACGCTTGTCCTGCTTTGTGTCTTCTAGGTGATCATTTGAAGATCTGTCCCCAGGGTTATACCTGCTGCTCCCAAGAGATGGAGGAGAAGTACAGCCTGCAAAGTAAAGATGATTTCAAAAGTGTGGTCAACGAACAGTGCAATCATTTGCAAGCCATCTTTGCTTCCCGCTACAAGAAGTTTGATGGTGGGTATTGGAACGTTGGTCCAAGTGTGCATCGGTATTGGGTGTACTCTGAATTTTGTTTGATTCCTTTTATTCAAGTCATATTTAAGAGCTGACCGAATCTTCCTCAGGTAACTTTGTACAGTTGCTTTTCCAGAGCTCCTCTCTTCCCCCAGTGCTTGAGTTTTTGCCCAAGATGTTCTTGCTGACTCCCAGGGGCAAGTTAGCCCTGCAGCTTTATTGCTAGAAAGCTCCAGATGCACTAGACTCTGTATGGTAGGCATTATGGAAATATGGTCACAAGGAGCCAACAAATAGATTAAAGTAGTTTAATTTAAATGCTTTTATTTATTTTCTTGGGTGAACACGGAATAGTGTTGTTGACGCAAGTCACTAAAAAAAACATCTTCCTAATAAAAAGCAGACATCTGAAAACTGTCTTAGTCAAAATAACCATAGAGATTCTGCAGATGTTGGGCTTCAAATTAAATTTCAAAATGGATCCCCCAAAGACAACTAGAATTCCTAGAAGCTCTGTAGAACACAGATGGGATTAAGGCTTATCTCCTGAATTCCATACAGCAGTGGTCCACAGGTAACCCGGAGAGCCATTAGCATAATCGTCAGTAACCTGGGCACCATCCCCAGTCTCTTTTCAGCTGGAACTCTGGCCCAGTCTACTATCCACATAAAGCCACCACAGAACCCATTCTAGTCCCCTGTGCCAAACATGACTTCCCTTACACACACCTCCTTTTACTAGTGAAGGAATAGCCAATATGAGCCAAATGACAGTCACTTTTCCCACTCATTTTTGAAGCAATGTTACAGATAAAAGACTTTTAAAAAAAATAGAGTATGGGGTCCCAAACACCACAGTATTCTCCCCTCTAGTGCTGCTCACTCAGTTTGAAGATTGCTATGAAGTAGATTTAATTTGAATAGGAATGATTTCCTTTGTGCCTGTTTTAAAAGGCCATTCTAATTACATCGTACCTTTGAAGCATGCTTTTCTTGACATTATGTGTGGTGAAGAAGTACACGGCAAATTTTCTAGATGTGAAATGTCTTTGAGTATTTCTGCAAAGGGCTCGTTACCATGGTGAGAAGTTAGACTAAATTAGATTTGATATAGCTGATAAGGCAGTCCCTAGCTAAAGAACAGGTTGTGTTTCAAAAGTTGGCTTTGAGCTTCCTTATTTGAAACTCTTAAATGATAGAGTAAGTGTCAATTAGGTTCCCAGGCTAGACCACAAAAAGCATATTTAATGTAGAATGTAGTTGAACTAAAATATTGTCTATGGAGTATACCATTTAGCCTACCTAATTTTTTTTTTTCAAACACTTTTGTCTACAAAATCTGTTGTCTTAATTTCATCTTCTCCTTTCCTGAATGGAAGCAATCTGTATATCTCTATCTGTATATCCCCTCTCTCACACCATACATCTCTTCCTCATGCTATACATGACTGTTAATGCCATGTGAAAATGGGCTCTATTGGCAACATTCCTCATTGGACCACTTCTGTTTCTCTTGATCATTTAATGTAATCATCATCATCATCATCATCATTGAAAAGAATGATATTGTCTTGACTGTGGCATTTCTCATTTAAGACAATAGTTTAAGCATTTTTCTTTTACTTTGGGAACAAAAGAGTGAATCAAATGGTCAGCATTGAGAAATTGAGATGCTGATATTGAACACTTAGCACTTGGGGCTTCCAAATGGAATTTACAAGAAAAAGAAAAAATCCTACCTTTCAGAAATCCTGTTGGCAGCGTGATGCAGTAGAGATAAGCTGTTTCCAAGTTCTAAGGCCACCTCCTCCAAGGCACGCCCTTTCTTAATATGTCTCTTCCTAGTGTGTAGCCCCTAAACATTAAAGCCTTGGGGCCTGCTGGCTTAGCTCTTCTTTCTCCTCTTGCTCCCCATGGTTTTATAGCAGTACTCGTATGATTCCAGCATGTAATTTTTAAATAGCCATACAGAGAAACTTTATCAGTAAGTGTTCACATATGGCCCCCCAACAAAGGACAAGAAAAAAAAAAAAACACTTTCTCTTGCCATTCCTTACCAGGCTTCATATTCAACAAACATATTCACACACTGTCTTTATCAGTTTCTGAAGTTGTCTGGAAAAAATCATCATGAAACTCCAGTTTGTTCCTTCTGACTTCAAATTAAAATGTGGCAAGACGATAAAGTTAGTGCGTGTAGATGAACACTTTCTGAAAGGGTTGTAGCTGAAATGTGTTGGGTATGGAGATCAAAACAGAGCTGAGATGCATTGCATATTCCACACCAAACTACATTTTCTGAGACTATGAAATAATTTCGTGTTGTAAAATCTGAGTTGACTGGTATACAACAAATCAGAATAATCAAGTGGGTACTGTGTTTATTTATTGATTGATTCTTGAGGATGTTGATAAGGACATGTTGACACTCCTCAAAAGACCTAAATGTCCAGGAATATTGAGTGACGTGCTGTATGGTCTTTCTTTCTTTAAAAATATTTTATTGTATTTTTGATGAACGTATACACAGCAAAATGAGTTCCCATTCAACAGTTTCTACACATAATGTTTAGTGACAGAGGTGACATTCTTTGCATTGTGTCAACATTCTCATTATTTCTGTTCTAGTTGTTTCATTCCCAGTAACTTAATCTCACTGTCCCCCAATATAGGGTGTTTCTCAACTCTCAGAAACCCAAGAGTGGGTGCTTTGGTCAAAGAATTGATCAGACTGTTATAGAAGCCAGCTCCTAGGGCATCGACATAGATCGAAAAGAAGAAAGTGGTCAGAGTAACAGTATAGCAGCTGGGGAGCCAAGATGGGACAGCAAATCTGTACAAAGGTGGCTGAGGACAAATAGTGAGGAAATAGCTAAAGGGCATGTGGGTGCATACTGGGTCACAGCTTCAAAGGAGTGTCTTTTGCCTTTGCCAAAATGAAAGTATAAATTCAAAGTGGTGACCTTGAGCCCAGGCACCTTCCTGTGTCATCACAATTTTACTCATGTCTGTGAGATTTCGCTTCTTTCTAAGGCAGGAACAATTCACTTTTTTTAAAATTAAATTTTCAATACATCTAAGTTATTAAGTCCTACTAAAGAAGTTTACATGGGAGCTCTGGTGGCATAGTGCCTAAGGCGTTTGACTGCTACCCCAGATGGCTAGCAGTTCAAACCCACCAGCCACTCCTCAGAAGGAAGATGGGGCAATCTACTTCCATAGTGATACTGCCTCGGAAACCCAAGGGAGAGGTCGGTATGAATTGGAATCAACTCAACGGCAGTGAGTTTTTGTTTTTTTTTTTTCCAAGAAGTTTTGCCTTTCTCGACCAGAAATTATCCCATATAACCAATTTTCCATTATTTTGCTTCGACGAGCCCAGGTTGACGTTCTAGTTCCAGCTCTCGTATTGTGGAACAACCCGATTGAGGTGTTAAATCCGTTCTCTAGTGCCTTGATCTCCAAGTGCCTGTTGTTCTTATTGATGTAAAACTATATATAACATAGCACTTGCCCAACCAGGGACCTTTTTTTTTAATTGTGATTTGCTGAAAGTTTAAAGACTGAATTTGTTTTCCAGATAACAGTTCATACACATTTTGTGTCATTATATTGATTGCAATCTCCATTGTGTAACAGCTCTCTTCCCACTTCCTCCCTGCGGTTACCTTTTCCCTGTGTCCTTTCCTATGCTTTCCTGTTCTCTGATCTATAACAAGGACTCTTTTTGTTCTGCTTGTTTGATTTTCTATTGTTGAACAGCCAAAGAGACTCTACAAATCAGTTTATAAGTTATAAACCTTATATGCATGGTGTGTGTGTGTGTGTGTGTGTTTAGACCTTGGTAAAGTGAAGGAGAAAGTTACTTTGGTGATTACACACACACACCACTCACACTCAATTTTAGGCTTCACATATTTTAGATCTATTTTGAATTTAAAGATTGATCTCTTTATTTCTCTAGACTGTAATTTTCTTTATCCACTCTTTAACCTAGGATGTTCAGTACTAAAAATCTACCATCCTAGGCTTGGGGACCTCGAGCAGAGTGTGGCAGTGACAGAAGCCAGCTGCTCCCCCTCTTGGCCAGTTCTGGGATTTTAAAATTTAAAGTGGAACTGCTAATTAACATAGCTGAATCAGTTGTCTCATAAATATGCTAATGAGACCCTCAGCTCTTATATGGGGGCTTGGAACACATTACTCAGTGAAGGGAATAGAAATCGCAGATGTGGGACATAATCTGTGTTTTGGGACCTCAACATAAAGACCCACCCAAAGATGTTTGGCATTTTGTGAGAGACTGGTTGTTTTTAAAAGAACCAGAGTTAATCACACAACCCAAACAGGTTAAGAAGATTAGAGCTGCCATGTTAAATGTATTTCTGAATGACATAGTAGAACTGCATAGAGAAATTTTAATGCTAACTTACTCCCTTAATCAATGCTTGCTAGATACTTTGCATATTAAAAAAAAATCTTAAGGAAATACAAAGGTTTTCTAATGTTAGTCTTTAGTTTGTCATCTTAGGAGCAAATTTAGCAACTGTGGACAGGAGACAGAACAGACTGGATTGTCAGTCTGGCTGTGTAGTTAACCCACCGTGACCTGGGGCAATTAACTGGGTCTCAGTTTTCCCATCCGTAAAATGAGGGGGTTGAACTAGATGCTCTGTAAAGACCCTTTCAGTGCGCAGAATTCTGTGAATCTTCTGAACATGTGACTAGACCAGCTGCTTTAGTGAAAGGTCTTACACGACGTTAATTAGCCGCCTGTCCGGTCCCCTCCATTTTCCCCCTATCATTTCTTAACTCTCAGCTACTTTCACCGGGTCTTTGAAAACCCTCCCACGAGCCTGAAGCTTGTTAACTCACATAATAGTAGAAATTTTCTGAATTAGCTTAAAAGCACATAAAAGAATTAATTGTCGGTCTCATCTTGCCGCATAGGCCAAGTGTAAACCTGAGTGGCCACCCTGCCCTTCAGCCTGCAAGCCCCC